CTACCCAAATTACGGCTGTCGCAAGAGTTAATTTGCCTCTTGAATTTAGATCGTACTAATATATCACGAAGGTTAGGTGGTCTGGGATAGGCTATGAACGGTGTATCCGGGAAAACAGACATAAGACGTTCTGTGGTCTGTGTGCATATGTTTCTGAATTATAGTTCTTAGTGGTGGTAACATAGGGTGATAGGTAGTGACCAGTGGCACTCTGGTCGATCGCTGACGTGGTTTGTACGTCAGTGTTTGAGCACGAGGTATGTCCTTTGCTTTTTTTACAGCATTTTCGATGGGTCCTCGATGATAATTTCTATTCCGGAGATGTCCGGATAGCTCTTCTGTTCAATTCTGAAAATCTAAATCCGAAGAACAAATGCATATTTTTCATGGTCACGGTGATGTCCAGAAAATCTTCACTGCTTGTGGATTTGTTAGCAGTGAATTTGATTGTAGGATGAGCCGAATTAATGTTCAATAGGAACGTATCCAAACTATCTTCACCATGGGTCCAGATCATGAAGATGTCATCAATGTAACGAAACCAAACATCTGGTTTCTTGGGCTGTAGGGACAGGAAATTGGCCTCAAATTGTCCTATAAATAAGTTATCAAAAGATGGAGCCATTTTAGTGCCCATCGCTGTGCCATGAATTTGAAGGTAATGACCGTCGCCGAAAACAAAGTTATTATTGGTCAGAATCAGCATGATAAGTTCACGTAGATGTGAATTAGATGGGGTTTTGCCCCGAATTTGTTTGTAATTTGAAATGCACGCATTAACACCTTCTTTATGAGGGATATTAGTATAATATAATGACGAAACATCAAGTGTAGCCAGAACAGTATTATTAGGTAAATTTGAAATTTTGTTAATTTTGCAGATAAATTCCGTGGAGTCCTGAATGTACGAGGGGAGAGCAACAACATTATGGTCTCAATAAATCATCCACATATTCAGAGATTTTTTTTTGTAGCAGTACCGTTGCCCGAAATGATGGGTCTGCCAGGATGGCCTGCTTTGTGGATTTTGGGTAGGACATAGAAACGTCCTGGTGCCGGATCGACCTGGATGAGATGGGGTCCAATTTTGGGATCGATGGAACCTTTTTTAACCATCTTAAATACAGATTTTTCCACTTCCTTAGAAATTTCCGGAGTGGGGTCTCCTCTTCATAGAATTTAATGTTTATTAGACAGTGGCAGGGCCTTTATCAGCTGGTTTGATGATAATATCATCACGCTGACGCAAATTGGCAATGGCCTGCCTCTCATATTTTTGTGAGATTGTCGCGGAAATCTGGACTAGGAGCGTGGTTTTTTTGAACGTCCTCCTCAATGGCCTGAATGAAAGTTTCTAAAGCTGGATTTAGAAGGATTCCAGGTACTTCTTGGTTTGAATTTGTTAACATTGCCCGTGTTATCAGTGGTGTTGCCGTCGGAATCAGCGAAAACTTCACGGTATCTTAAACGTCGGAAGAAAGCTTCCAGGTCCAAAGATAGTTGTTGTGGGTCAGCCTGCCTCGGTTTTGGGCAGAATTTGAGTCCTCGGGATAGAAGTTTGGTTTCTCCTTCGGTAAGCTGACAGTTAATTTGAACAACTGAATCCGTGGTGTTGCACAGATTATCACTAAAGCACCGAATGAACCTTCTAGGTTTACGTGAAAGCCAAACATTGTGCGAAGGTTGGATAACTTGTGTAGAAGTGATATATCTCGACCAAATTTGTGTTGTCTCCTCAGGGAAAGTTCCTTGGAAAGCTTAAGGCAATCCTTGGCAATAATCTTGAGTTTGTTTTAAAATTCAGATATAGGAAGGTCTCTTTTTAGCCTTCTAGTTCTAAAGTGAATTTGGTTGTCGATGTCTTTGAGGAGTTTGCGGCAGTTGCCAATTAGGACCTCATTTAATCGACATGCATTTTTGTTAAGGACGCCATTCCAGCGGGAATGGAAGTCACGATCTGCGAACGGAATACCAGACCTGGCATAAAATTGTAGTCCTTTAGGAGCCGAATTGTTGAGCGATGTTCAAGATAAATAATAAGATGGTTACGATACCTGACGCGTTTTTCCGACAAGCTGCGTAGAAATTTGAAATTGTCCAAAGTAACCTCCAGAATTACAGCAGAGTTGGATCAAAATGATACAAACAGTAGAAAATGATATATAGATTAAAAGGCAAAATACTGAAAAACAACAATGCTGTGGGAAACAATGGCTGGATCTCGGTAGAGATACAAAAATTTCAGAGTGATTGCAATTGACCATAATGCCAGTTGGAGCGACAAAAATCGCAAAGATAAAGAGAATCACTGGGAACTTTTACTTAAAACAACCACACCATTTGGACTCAATATTAGGAACGTTCTCCCAGTACACTGAATTAAACCAATGGCATTTCAATTTATTCTGGATAAATCATTTGGCTTATTTTATTGAGGCTTGCCTCTAAAGTTTAGTTTTGGCCTTCCTGTTTACTTGTTTAGACTGTTTATTCTAATCTCACCCAGCCTATTGTTTCCAATCATGCTTGCATAAAATTCTCACTTTATACCATCTAGCTTTTTCTACCCTCACTCACTCGCCACTGAGGAAGGACTAGTTTTGTCCGAAAGCTCTAGTTCTATTTCTGGCTGTTTACTTACGTTTACTTTTTAGCTGTTGCTTATCATTTTTGTATCTGAGATCCAGCCATTGTTTCCCACAGCATTGTTGTTTTTCAGTATTTTGCCTTTTAGTCTATATATATATATATATATAAATAATAATAATAATAATAATAATAATAATAATAAAGTAAGAACTTATATAGCGCCATTTAAAAAACCAAAGTAATTATCAGTGGCGCTTCATGTTATTGTTGGAATAAGTGCGTTTTGAGTGATTTTTTAAATAAAGGAATTAATGCTGATTTTTTAATGTGAAGTGGTAGTGCGTTCCAGATATATATATATTATATATATATATTATATATATGTATATATATATGTATATATATATTTATATATATATGTACATCCATATATGTACATATATATATATATTCATTCATTTCATTTCATATATTTTGCCGTATACAATGTTACAAGGAAAAACTATAAAGATACAAAAAATGTTGGTCCCTGATTCTCCACAAGAGCCGATGTACATTAATCATCTTGAATAATTAAAAAGTAAAGGAATATCATTAATATAAATATTAAATATTAGTGCCTTTTACAATGACATACGAATTATTATTGTATATTTTTGGTATATATTTCAGCCGCTCTGACTATCTTTCCTATTCTTCCCTCTTCCTTTATTCTTTCATATTTTACGTTATTTTATTCATAATTACAACAGATTACTTACACAACTTATCACAAGGTTCTGTGGTTGGACCCTGCTTTTTTACATTATACCTAATTAGCCCACTGATAATCAGGAAGCATGATGTTAACTTTCATTTCTATGCGGATGATCTACAATTATGCCTATACCTGGGATTTAATCCTTTGGATCCTTTTAGTATTGATGATACTGTTTTCGGCTTACTAATTGTATCACTGAAATTCAACAGTGGATGACATTGAATAAACTAAAGCTTAATGAATGTATAGCAAAGCTTCTGGTCTGTACTTCTAGAAACCAACAGTCATCACCTTTAGTTAGAAATATCCAACTCAATGTTAATGGATCCCTCATAAAGGCCTCTAAAAATGCTCGTAACTTGGGTTTTACATTTTGACTCCACACTGGATTTAAGTTCTCAGGTGAGTAAGGTATGTAGTAGTGTACGTCACCATTTGCGTAACTTGTAGAGGATTCGAAGATTTGTTAATCAAGATACTTGTCATGCAGCAGTTAGAGCCCTCGTACTATCGCGAATTGACTATTGTAACTCACTCTATGGTAGTCTCTTCAAGCATAACACACAACACACTTTTTTTTCTGACAGGGAAACAAAATATATGAAAGACACCTATCTCCCAGTAGTCTGGCTGAATGAGGTAATCATCATGCTGATGCATGTCAACATTTATTTGTACTAAAAATGTAAATTAGATGTAAATACATTAAAAGACTTTACTACAGACTGTAAAGTAATTTTCACAGGTACTTCACATTATTTTCCCATGGTTAGAGCTGATTTAGATATATTTTTAAATATATATATTGATACTAATTTAGAAATAAATAAATGTAGGTTTTTAAACATAAAAATAAGATAAAATTTAGATATTTTGTTTTCTATTTAGTAACAACACATATAGGAATTTTCCTCTTTACATTTTGCGATGTTTGTATTAGTGAACAATCACAGTAATGAATAAATGTTATAGTTCTCTGACCGACCCAATTTCTAATTTTGCTTTGATTTGGTTTTTGGCCTTTTTAAAAATTATAATACAAGTTGTTAATTTTTAATAATAAAAATTAAAATAGAGTTTAATTTGTTTAATAGTTATATTAAAGTTTATTTTATATATCAAAATATTATTATATAAATATTGTTTTTTTAATGGTGTTGTTTTACGTCGTGAGTAAGTAGGTAAATAATAATGCTTTTCCTTTGTACCATTTTTCTCCAGAGTTGTGATTTGGATGATGCATTTGTTGATTATTACAAGAAGTCTGTTTTGCTACCTTTGAACTCTGCTCTTGGCCTCTTTATTGCGATACTTGTTTTGGGAGCTGGTTTGCTAATTGGTTCTCTGATAACCTACTATATTGATTATCGAGCAAACATGAATCCAAAGGTTAGTGAGATTGTTGGTTTAAGGTAAAAATATACAGTAAAATATTGACACAAGATAAATATTACACTGAGACACACACAACTTATATATACCTGTACTGCCCTCAAATATAACAAGAAGATATAAACGTTCTTCAAGTTTAAATCTCATTTAATTTCTCCTTTATAGAACCAAATCCTCCTGTACTGTATTTAAATTAGAACCACTTATGGTTGAACTATAACCTCATTTTGGTTGAACTAGTTTACTGAAAGCACAACATGAATGTAGGCCTAAGTTATAAATTATTATATAATATCCAGGTGACCATAATAACATAAAATAGCATTCTAAACAAGATTTATGAATTAAATATTTAAACTATAATAGAAAGTCTCAACAAAAATTAGTAGATTTACCCGCTTAATGCAGTACAAATGTGGATTCCTACGAAACATGTCTTCCTGGCTTGACGGAGTGTGCAAGTGTATGAAATCAAAGAACTTTAAGTTCTTTGATTTCATTTTAAAATATCATAAGAACGAGATGTTCCGCGTATTTGCATGAAACTTGATGGAACATCCACCCTCCCGCGAGCGGGGTAAAATATGACCATTTGACTAAGTGGAGAAATTACAGGAAACAAATGAAACCGAGCAACGCCTTTATTATTGATATATAGCGCCGAAATTGCTCTTCGTGTACCCACAATGCATTTCGAACGGATGCTTCACTATATTGGGAAACTGCTCTATCTTCTGCTATTTATTATCTTTGATGAAATAAACAAGTGCACCCTCTACCGGTTTAATGGTACAGTATTGCCCACAGGTGGGCAAAGTACGGCCCGACAGCGATTTTTTGCGGCCCGCGAATATGGATTAAAACGCCCATGTGTGCGGCCCGCCAAGCAACATGGGCTAAAAAACACCTTGTTTTTTTACGGCCCGACACCGATCATTATGTAAAAAGTAATATTAAAACTGGGAATAAAGTGGTGTAAAAGCAGTGCTTGGAAGTTTTTGAAAGCGCACTGGAAAGATTAAAGTTTGGGTGCGGCCCTCGGTGTTAAATCAGAAAGATTTTTATGCCCACCTCTGTTCTAACCCAAACAAGGCTACCCATTTGTTTATCCACGTCATCAGCCGCCATTTTGAATTTTAAGATGGCCGACTCACCACATAAAACATGGTCATGTTTGGTGTCAATGGAAAGGGAATTATACACTGATTAATTCTATTACACCTATACCTAATAATACATATTTACAGAGATAGAGGCCGATAAATAAAGACACGTGACAAAAAAATTGCAAAAGGTAAAAAAAACTCACCAAATGTTGTCGTGTTTGGTATCGTTAGAAAGGTCTTCCAATGCTCAATAATGTTTGACTGTACACATATTTCAAAAACGATAGAAGTTAAATTTAAAGTAAATTATTGCATACCGTATTAAAATAAATATGACCCAGTTGCGTAGAGCTCGTGAGCTCACGGGAGGAGATCCTACTATTACCATATAGCACTTTACTACAGAACCTTAACAGTGGCGTAACGCATGTGCTTTCCGGGCCATGTCCGGGTCCAAATGGGCCCGGAGAGGCCATGAAGGGTCATTCTGATTACTGTACTACTCATCACTCTACTACAACACCTTGACAATAAGGTAAGCTTTTCTATCATTTAAAAAAAAAACAAACAAACAAACAAACAAATAGACTTAAATGCCAAACTCATTGGCAGATTTATTAGAAGGGGTCCCTTCAACTACTACCCAGCATTTTACAATAGAAGTTTACCAGTTATGAACGCCTGTTTGCTTTTTGAGGAAACGCTTAGTCCAATGAGCCCTGGAGGAACCAGGACCCCACTTACTACATAAATCAGTTTACATAAATGAAAAATAAAAGTAGCTGTAATTATATTAACAGTCAGTGCGTTTGATAAACAATAAGGAAGCAAAGGTATGCTGCCATATATTTAGGCTGAAGGTAGGTTCGGAGAAAACAGAAGGAACAGTTTCTCCAAAGAAATGCACTGAACTTACACCTAATTCTGTTCTTCAACCTGTAAAGTGTCGATGTCGCGGTGAACAATCTATTTTAGACAAAACGTTGCAGTTGTTCAAATAGCAACATGCGTAGGCCTATTCTGAAATAATTCGAGGCCAAAATTAGATCTCTATGACCAACGGTTATTGAGATATGATATGCTGCAGTGTACCTAGAGTCAATGGTCAGAAGCATAATTTCCTGTCACTTTTGGACAAAAAGTTATATTAGTTCAAATAGAAATCTGAACATTGAGGCTAAATTTAAACTAGGTCTCTATGACTAACAGTTTTGGAGATATGGATATGCTGGGTCATGTACATTGGACAAAATGCTACTTTAGAGCAATTTCTAACAATTTGAGACCAATATTAAATCTGTACGATTTTCCGTTGCCACGATATATTGATGCCGTCTTTTAGAGGCGGTCATTTTAAATTCAAAATAGCGGCCTAAGCAGGCGTCAGAAACTTGCCGCAAAACTTTTTTTTTATAACTTACACATATTAAAGATATTTTGTGCAAAGTTTCATACTTTGGTAATAAAGTGCACGACTTGGCCCTTAGCTGCTCTTCTAAAATACGCAACTTGGTGCTTTAGCTGATCTACTAAAGCAGTTGATAAGCGTCTTTCAATATTTTAAGGATTTAAGTGCTTAGGTTGCTTGGGGTTGACATGACATTTGAGGTAAAAACGGAAACGGAAATACATTTATAAGTAAAGTGTTTCTACATTTGTGGTTAAACAGATTTTTACATTTGTGGGAGATTTTTTTTTTTTTTTTTTTTTTTACGTTTGTGGTTATTTTGGCATTGCGGGTAGAATGTTTTGACATTTGTGGTTATTTGTACATTTGTGGTTTATTTTTTATATTTGTGGGCTCTACAGGGCCCGGGGCGAGAAAATGTTAGCAGCTCCTTGCATATCAGTAAAGTAATTTAGCTCACGAAGTGATTGGGTGGGTAAAGGATGAAAAGATTGTAATTAATAGACAATGGCAAAAATATATTTTATGACTATCTAACAAAGCTGATATTTTGCACACTGATATTTAATTTGAATATTTGCGTGCAACATATGAATTAGGTTTATGGATAAATCATCATTTAATACGTGCATTTCACAAGCCTGCAAAAATTACATGCTTAATCATGAATGTGTTGATCTAAGTTCCATGTAGCTTTGCCAGTAGAAATAAGCATTATTAAACAATCATTTAATCAGTTGGTATCAGGGTCGGATCCAGGGAGCACAGGCTATTACCAATCCCCGAAAATTAGAGGAAAAACGAAAGAAGAAAGTCATTAAAGTAGGGAACATGACTTTAGAATGGGCCTACTCCAAAACAAGCTAACTTTCTATTTAAATTCCATCAGTTTCTAAGTTCCAAGCATTTAAAACAAAATTCTTTATATCCGCCCCTTGTTTTATTCTAAAGGTACCGTACCATTCCAACATTTAAGAATAGGCTCTAATAACACTACAACAAATCAGAGATGGACATCAATTTACTTTCTCAATAATAATTGTAGGCTTACAGCTTCTGGATCATTTTTTCTTCAGGTCGTCTAATAGGCTTGAAAATAACAATAAAAACACATTTTGGGTAACCAAATTCATTGATTGTTTAAATAAAGAAATGGTACCGTATTGTCAAAAGCGTCGTATTAGATTGCTCTGTAGTGGTAAGTGGCGGCTCTGGCCTCTCTGGGGCTCATTTGTACTTGGAGGAACTAAGCATTTTTTCCAGAAAGCACACAGGCGTTGTTACATAAGTGGTCAGTAAAATGCTGGGTCGTAGTTGAAGGGGCCCCTTCTAATAAATCTGCCAATGAGTGTGTTTGTTGCATTTTGTTCTATTTGTTTTTTTGAAAATTATAGAAAATGTTTATGTATTGTCAGTGCATTGCAGTAGAGTGATGGGTAGTAAAGTAAAAAGGGCCCCTAATTTCTATCTATCTATTTATTTCATTTCATTTCATTTCTTTAGGCACGAGCGCTAAGGATATGCCAATAAGTGAAGTTAATCACTGTCCTATGTGGCATATCCATTTAACAACAGGAGACTTTATGGACCAGTACACCGGGGTAACCCCCTACTCTTCTCGAAGGATGTACTGGGTTCTTTAAAGTACACACGATTCAGATGCGTACACTGGGCCTACGGTTTAAAGTGCGAGAAGACTTTTTCCACTACCGGAACCATTGGCGAGTGAGCCGTTCGAACCAGTGCCTCTGATGTGAAGATCATCACACTTGGCTCAGAAAGCACATGCATTACGCCACTGTTAAGGCTCGGTAGTAAAGTGCTAGGTGTTAGTTGTAGGATTCCCCTCCCGAGAGTTCACAAGCGTAAAAATATTCGCGCAAAATACAGAAATTCGTAATTGCACATTCATTTCCTGTTTGTAATAAACCGAATAAGTCACCAAAGATGACTTCATCAACATTTGGCCGATTGGGTATTAAAAGTTTTTACATTGTAAATGCATTGAGCGGAGTCGAAAGTGGTGTTTATCAAATCGTCTAAAATGTAATGAAGATAGCGTAGAAGATATTTGTTATAAAAATGTGTACATTTTGAATGACTCATAGATTCATGAGCTTAATGTTGATTTGATTTAAATTTCAATTCAGACACTAAAAATTTGAAGAATTTAGAGAGGCTTTTAAAAGCCGGTTCCCACTAAAGGCCGGTTCCCACTAAACTTGTCAAGCGAAAGCGTCGAGCGTCACGCAGCAAGCGAAGAGAATCGCGCAAAGTTCACAAGAGTTGACTTTCGGTAAAGAATGTCTCGCTTCCAATGATTCGCTTGCCTGTTGCCACTGCTGGCCGCGCGCAAAAACTCGAAATGGCGGGTGGCAACAGAGAAGATTTTGTTACCGCATTGATAGACGGAGAAAAAGGGCTGTGAGACGAATCAGATAAATCCTCAGGATTAACATTCCCTATATAACTCTATAATGAAT